AAAACACCCTCAATGAGTTTCTAAGTGAGCTAGGATCCATGTTTCACATGCTTTTGAGTCAGCTAGGGCATGACGCTCAAAACCATGCTATTTAGGTAGACAACACTTTGTCAATCACATCCTATGTGATTCTTAGATGAGTATGGGATAGTGATACGCTATCACTGCATGTTCCTCATTCCATCCTCACCATCAGGTCCAAGTCCGACTTGATAACCCAATTCAAGCTCAACCATATTTGAGCTATGAGAATCACGATTTCTCCATACTGCCTCACTAAGATAGTCAGGTACGCTCAGCTAGGGCATGGCCCGTAACCATGACGATCTAGGCCTTGACAGTTGCTCTACTAATAGGCGGTAACAGCTTGAGATTGCATGAGGCATAGGTGACTTGAACACCAGGGTACCTTAACTGAATTCAAGTCAGTTCAGTCAAGTTGTTCTGATCAACTCAGTTGAACTACACTTAGTTCTATTGAGTCGTCTATGTACAGAATCCCTTGGCTAAACAACAATTGTTCGCCTTAGATTCGATACCAGAACCCTCTCAATATCCTAATTTAGATATTTGATTTGAGACAACGATTGCACAATCAAAACTCTGAATTCTGGATTGTCATCAAGCTTGGTCTTATGTGAGGCTTTGATTCCAATTCTGATAATTGATTCGACACAACGATTGTTCGATCAAAAACTTAAATTTTTGGAATCCTGGATTTCCGAGGTCCAGACCGACCGGTCCAGCCTGTGGACCGATCGGTCTGACCAGTTCAGACCGTTCTGAGTTGTTCGGGTCTGGGTCCGAGACCCAGACCGGTCGGTCCAACCTTTGGACCGATCGGTCCGGACCTATTCGAACCGAACGGACTGTTCTCTGGTCCAATGTACTAGACCGGTCGGTCCAACCTTTCAGATCGAGTGCAGACCGAACCTGAAGATCGAACATTCCACCAGATCCAGACCGTTCGGTCCGAAGACCAGACCGGTCGGTCTGTCGAACGTAATCCGACGTTCTCTTGTGGTCATAGGTCCAGACCGGTCGGCCCAACCCTTAGACCGTTCGGTCTGACCTAATTTGACCAAAAGGCGAACAATTGCCGTCACGCGTAGACCGATCGGTCTACACGCTGGACCGGTCGGTCCACGCGATGGACAGACTTCGGATCTCGGTTTCGGATCCCAAAACCTAGGGGTTTCATCCCCGTTTCGACGCACCGTCAAGCCTCCCAAGAACCTCGCTCATCCATGCATCATTCAACAATCAAAATCATCAAACAAGCATAGATCTCATGTTTACATGCATTCTAACCATTAAAACCATGAAAACATACAAAGATCTATAGTCTACATGCATTCTAACAATTAAAATCATGCAAACCTGCAAAGATCTATTGTTTACATGCATCTTAACAATTAAAATCATGCAAACAAGCAACATGCACGGCGATATACAGAGAACCAGGCTCTCATACCACTGTTGGATTCCCTTCGGGTTCCTAGCATGCGATCTCATCGATCTAGGGTTTGGATTCTAGGTTTCACTCAGCGGAAGAAAAGATCTAAACCTAGCCAAACGTCACACAAAACCAATTGTGCAATAACCCGAACAATCGTGTGTATCATCGTGGGATTCGAATACTTACCTCGTTCTTTCTAGATCTGGAAGTATCAATCAATCCAGGGCCTGTTTTAATTACCCAGAGTTGAAAGCACAACTCCTCTACATGTATCCACACCGGCGGAATGAATTCCAACGCTTTGGAACGTATCTGCTAGGATTTGTGAAGAGAAAACGACGTCCTTGACTTGGAATCGATATTCTAATCTTTAGAACTCAAAATCAAGCTTCTCTAAGCTCTCATGAGTGTCCTAGGACGTCTGAGGTTAATTTTCTAGGGTTTTGTGGCGGCTCCCCAATTAATTAGGATTGCACAAAACCCTAAAACGCGGAAAAAGGAAACTTCCCCGAAAGTCGGACCGTCCGGTCTAGGTCTTGGACCGGACGGTCTGGCTTTCAACGCAGAACGGACAGTCCGCAAGTCTACGTGGAACGGACGGTCTGCATCTCTGGATCGAACGGTCCAGGTCTGGACCGGACGGTCTGGTGCTTGCTCCTAGAGCATTACAACCAACAGCTGGACCGTCCGATCCAGGTCTGGACCGGACGGTCTGGCCATCTGGAACTCTTCCAGATCGCTCCGTCGCTCTTTTCTCGCGTTGTTCTCTTCACGTGTGATCCATCCCTAATGGTGTGTGACCCTTTAGGCCCATTCGAAGTGGTAGTGGCTTCGGAAACCCTTTCCCGAACCACAAGTCATGGTTAGCCTCTAGCAAGACGCCATGACTACCCCCCTAGAATAGAGTTAGAGGTGATCTAACAAAGCCAGCCATAGTTCGAGTTCTGATCCTTTGTCTCACGATGTCGTATGTTGAACAAGGGCATGGTATGAGCCACCCTTCAAGTTCAACCGCTTACTCGTCTAGGCAAATCGACTGATAAAATAGATGTACCTTCATCTATAGCGTGGCCACGCATTTTCACAGTCCGATTTCCACGAGGGGCCCAGCGACATCTCTCCTGCGTAGGAGGTGACAAGTCCCATATTGCATGTCTACTATGATTCGTGAACGTATCTGAGCAACGCCGTTATGATCATCCGGTTAAAGATGACGTTTGACGCAGTCAAGATGCGCCACTCCTCATATCAGATACTCTAGACATCTCAGGTCCGAGGATCCAAGAACGAACCGCTGTATGAGATTCAAGTCATGACTCATATCCATGTAACAATCTCATGCGGGTCATCCAGTAACTCGTTCCAAACGAGAACCCATGATTGTGATTTACATCCAATGCATATGATCATAATCATCTATCACACATCATGCTGGTCTTAATTCATCATTGTTCCCACAATGACAACTGACCAGAGAGTTTAGAATCATCTGCAATGATTCAAGGATATCTACCGTAATATAACAAACATGCCAATCATATAACGGAAAAAGTAATGCATTCATAAACCAATGAATCAATACATAGTCAAAATGTCATATCACGGATCATCGTAGAGCATTACAACCAACACACAGAAGCTCGAATTTTTCCTCAGTCCCATCGTCTATTGCCTATCCTCCCAATTACTGTATATACTCTCATTTGATGCCAGGAGGAATATTTCAAGTGGATCAATATCTCGGAACTGATCGAAGACTTCCTGCGTCAAGATCTCGTGTACATCAACATAACACGTTGAGTCGGTAGTGGATGGCTGCTTCATATTGTGATCTAAGGTGAACTCAACAGTCTCGTCACCTATCTTCATAGTAAGACGACCAGCTCGGACATGTACTACCGCATCGGCCGTGTTCAGAAACGGTCGGCCCAAAATAATCGGTATCTTCGAGTCTTCATCCATGTCTAAAACAACAAGGTCTACAGGGACATAATAATCTCCGACTTTCAAAGAAACGTCCTCGAGAATACCTGCGGGATACTTAACAGACCGATCTGCTAGCTGTAGCGCCATCCGTATTGGCTTAAGCTCACCAATATTAAGTTTCTTGTAAATGGACAATGGTAGTAAACTGACGCTAGCCCCAAGGTCACACAATGCACGGTCAATCTCAATGTTTCCGATTTTGCAAGGAATCGAAAAACTACCAGGATCTGATCTCTTCCGTGGTAACTCATGCTGTAGAATTGCAGCGCTCACCTCTGTACTCAAGGCTACTGTCTCCTTCCCAATTACCCTCTTCTTGGTCAAGATGTCTTTCAAAAACTTCGAATAAGAGGGTATATGCAGCATAGCCTCATAGAACGATATAGTAACCTCTAGCTTCTGAAGCATATCAGTAAATCTCGAGAACTGTGTATCCTCAACATGCTTCTTAAATCGAGAAGGAAAAGGAACGGGTGGTACCTTAGGTGGAGGAGCGGCGTATGGCGTTTTCGGCTTCCTCTGCATTCACCCGAGGTGTCTCATCTGCTATGGCTTTTCCTTTCTCTTCGGCAGTGTGTCTAGACGTCGTCCCTTTTTCTGTAGGGACTGTTTCTGGAAGATTCTTTCTACTCCTCAGCTCAACAGCGTTTACATGCTCTCGTGGATTTGGCTCGGGTTTTCCAGGAAATGTGCCCTGCTGCCTAGAGGGCTGTGATGCCAGCTGTGCTATCTATGTATCTACGAGCTTCATGTGTGCGTCCATCCCGTCGAGTCTCCTGTCAATGGTGTCTTGCCTTGCCCTGTTGCTCTGTACCTCGGTTTTCAGCTCCGTAAATGATTTCTTCTGATCGAGCATTAGTTGGGCAAACATCGTCTTGATGTTAGCTTCATCGTTCTTTGCAGGTTGAGGCGCTCGGTAACCCTGATTCTTCTGCGCGTATCCTGGATTTTGATGCGCATATCCCTGATTCTGCCCCTGAAAATGTGGCTGAATGAAGCCCGGGGGGTTCTGAGGGACTCTGGAAACGCTCGGCTACTGTGCATTCAATGCTTCGCTCGGGTTTTCGTAGGAGAAACCAAGATGGTTCCTAGGCGCGTTCGGGTTGTAGAGATTGGAAGGATTCTAGTACTGATTCCTTCCTACTTAGTTGACACCCTCAACCGGTTCTTCCTCTGATGTTGCCTGATCAACCGGAAATATACCAGGCTGAACTTTCTGCGGGTTAGATGTATTCTTGAGTCCCATGTGCTGCTCGATTGCCGATAGATCTGACATTACCGCCTTTAAAGCAGCGAACTCGCCCAAATCTACCCGTCCGGTAGAGCGTCTGATGCTGTCTCCTGACATCCCTCTTGCTTTGGCCATCTTAGCAATTTGCATCTCTAGGGTGTCAAAGGGAATGTCATATACACTCCCTCCACAAGCTGCGCCCATCCATGCTCTAGTATCGCGTCTCAGTCCGTGGATGAACGTGGAAAGCAACAGTCGCTTATCCATGCTGTGGTGTGGACAAAGGCGCTGATAGCCTTTGAATCGCTCCCATGCATCGTATAGACTCTCATCACTCTCCTGAGTGAAGCTGTGTATGGCTCTCTGTGCAGCTCGGGTCTTCTCTGGGGAGTAGTATCTCGCCATGAATTGCTCCTCTAACTCCTCCCATGTCGTAATCGAGTTCGGCTCAAGGGTGTAGAGCCAATCTCTTGCCCGATCCATCAGTGAAAAAGGAAAGGCCTCCAAGTATACATCTTCAATCGTCATCCCTCGTGCCTTCCTAACTGATCTGCACAGCATCTTGAACTGAGTCAAGTGAGCAATGGGATCTTCTGTGGGCTGCCCTCTGAAACTCGCCTGACTGAACATCGTGATGCACTGTGGCGGTAGCTCGAAACTGTCTATGGGCGGTATGTTGAGCATGATAGGAGTTGGGTGTGCTTCGGTGCGATGTAAGAACCCAACCTCTCCTCTGCAACATAAGTAGCTTCGCCCTCGGTATGCTGATCGTAGAGTGGATTCATGTGCTCTTGATTCTCATGATGCTCCTCATCATGAACCACACGCTCTTGTTGATGATCGTGCGAACTGCTTGACCTCGACATACCTCCTCTTCTCTGCTGATTTCGGATGTCTCTCAAAGTACGCTCAATCTCCGGATCGTAGACTAGGTCTTCTCTCCGAGTAGAGCTCCTTGTCATGCACTAGAACCTTGCAAGTCGCAAAGAAACAAGTACTCGAAACCAAGTGAACCCGCAAAAACCAAAGAAAGAAAAAAAAGACAAAAAGAAAAAGAAAAAGAAAATAAGCTAAGATCTAGAGTCGATAAAAATCTACAAATAGGCTAACCAGTCCCCGGCAACGGCGCCAAAAACTTGATATGCGTGTATCGAGTCTAGAATTTGTAACCCGATTCACAACTCACCGCAAGGATACGGATCGTCGTAACACGGGGTCGAACGCAAGGATCGGTTGCTAAATCTAAACCCTAATCGAAACTAAATCAAAGCAAGCAAGTGGAAGTGATGGTGGAAGTATGTGAAATCTAAAATAACTAAAATAAGAAAGCAAATAAAAACGTGTAAACTATCAAGCAAAGATGACCATGGGTGTCGGGACCGTATTCACGTGTATGGGTATTTGCTAAGCATGCGAGAATCACGATATTGAATCTGTATTCGAGAATCGTCAAGCAACAAAGATAGAGAAATCATCTTCTGGCATATAACTCACTATCTAAAGTTTTCTAAATCCATATCCCTATGTGATTTATCAAACTAGATGCATGAAGACCACTATCATCAACCCTAGATCGATCAAACCATATTCCTATGTGAATAATACGATCTATTCTATCGATTTTGATCCGAAACTAAATCCATATTCCTATGTGATTCAGAATCTAAAACAATTGATCAAGGGGTCAGCAAACATCAATTGACATGAAGTGCAAATCGATAAAACCGAAACAAATCCAAAACGCAACCAAGTTAGGGTTCAAACATACCCAAAACACAAACGAATCCCTAACCCACATCCGTGGATCTACTGACGGTTCATGGAAAAATACAGAATAAAACCGAAATCAGAAACAAAAGAGGGAGAAGAAAGACTCATATCGACAGCCAAGCGATCTTCATGTTCCAACTATCCTTCTTCTTCCCGAGATCTCGTATACTCCTATTTATCTCCACCCAAGCTCTCCAAAGTCTGTCTAAAGTCTGTATAAAGTCTGTCTCCCTCTTGGACGTCTGTAGGTCTTTCTTATAAACCCTAGGCGGCGCCCCCAAAGTCCTACTCCCGCTCCAACTCTGAAAACTTCGAATATGGGCTTTTTCTGGGTTTTGACTCAGACCGAGTCAGTACTCTGACTCGACCGAGTCAAAATGGGCTTTTAAAATGTCGACCCAGCCCATTCTTCTGACTCGGTCCTTCTGACTCGGGCTTGCTGACTCGGGCATTCTGACTCGGATGTTCTGACTCGGACTCTTCGTAACAGGTTTGAATTTGGCCATCTCCAGCATGTTGACTCGGTCCACTTTCCATTGTTGACTCTGGCCGAGTCAAGGCGGGAAGTTCTTGATGTATCTCGTCCTTTTTGCTCCAGATTGCTTCCGTTTTGGTCTGAATCTCATCCAAGACCTGTAATCCTATAAAAACACAACCAATCGAGTTTCGTAGCCTAACACGCCTATAATGCCTACAAATGAACGTGAACCTCATATAGATTCCATAGAAACGTCCTGAAAATATAGAGAGAATTACGAGTTATCAGGCATCCGTTGGAAATCTGTGCACGCATTTAATTTCCTCTGACATTTTCCAACAGATGCCCATTAGAACAGTGAATTCCAATGGTCATCCGTTGGAAAATGCCTGGATTGTCGCGATAGACGCCAGGTTCCTCGAACGGATTTAATGTTTCAGTATTTCAAACGGATATCCGTTGGAAATCAATAACTACAAAAAAACAGTGTTTCTGCATTCGTTGCAAAATTTGCAACGCTTTACCAACGATTTACAACGTAAAAATGTTGCAACGAAATAGCAACGAATTAACACGTTTTTGCAACGCTTAGCAACGCAACGTTTTCGTTGAAACTTGCAACGACAATTTCATTGCAAGTTGCAACGATTAGCAACGTTATTTGACGGACGAAAATGTTGCAACGCATTTGCAACGCAACGGTAACGAGTTGCAATGCTTTTACAACGAAATAATTGCGTTGCTATAAGCAACGAAATTTTCGTTGCAACGAGTAACGTTTTGCAACGTAATTGCCACGCAGTTGAATTTCGTTGCTACCTAGCAACGCAGCTATTTCGTTGCTACCGATATTAGCAACGCAATTTATTCGGTGTCAGAATCGCTCTTTTTGGTAGCGACGCAATTGCGTTGTAAATTTTGTTTGCAACGCAATTTCGTTGCTAAACGAAAAAAATGGTGCAACGCAATTGCATTGCAAAACGGTGAAATCTATTAACCGGTTTTTACGTTGCAATGCAATTTCGTTGCTACGGTTTTAGGTTAGCAACGAAATTGCGTTGCAAAATTTTTTATAAAAACCACTCCTCCCTTTTCCACTTCAAACTTCGAAAATTCGAAAGAAAAAAATGACATCGAGTGGAAGTGATATTTATCACTCTAGACGATGGTTATACGAGAGAATTGATGCATCTACGGGCAATTTAAGCATCGAGTATGAAGAGGGGTTGCAGAATTTCATGCAATTTGCGACAAGTCAGAATCAGTGCGTAAGAACGGGTAAAATATATTGTCCATGTGCACGATGTGAAAATTCTAAATTTCTTACTCCAGAGGTGGTTCTAAAACATCTATTCAAAAGAGGTTTTGTTCCAAATTATTATGTTTGGGTTTACCACGGTGAAACGCTCGATGTTGTTAATGTTCCTACCATTAACGACAAATTTGTTGGGAGAAACAGTGAACCAACTAACCGTTACGTTGATATGGTTCAAGATGCATTCCCTTCTCAGTTTTGTTCTAACAGGGAAGATGAAGAACCAAACAACGAATCAAAAAGGTTTTTTGATTTGTTGGAGGCAGCTAATCAACCTATATATGAAGGTTGTGTAGAAGGATTATCCCAATTATCTCTTTCAGCACGAATGATGGGCATGAAGTCGAGTTATAATCTGACGGAGAATTGTATGGACGAGGTATGTCAGATGATGACCGATTATCTTCCTGGAGGTAACCATGCTCCTGATTCTTTCTACAATATGTCTAAACTCATGGGGCATGAGGGCTATCAAAATCGATGTATGCCAGAACAACTGCATGATTTTTTGGTCTGGAAATGATAAAGAGTTATCGAATTGTCGATTTTGTGGAGCTGATCGATTCAAACCCAGAAAAAATGTGCAACGTAAAAGAGTGCCATATAAACAGATGTTTTATTTGCCGATAGCAGACAGGTTGAAGAGATTATACGAATCTCACAAGACAGCATCTCAGATGCGTTGGCACGGAGAACATGTTTTGGATTCAGGAAACATGCGTCATCCATCAGATGGTGAGGCATGGAAGCATTTTGTGCAGCTATATCCTGATTTTGCCTGTGAGGTGAGAAATGTTTATCTGTGTTTATGCACCGATGGTTTTGCACCGTATGGTCAGTCTGGGAAACAATATTCATTATGGCCAATTGTGTTGTCGCCGTATAATCTACCACCAGAAATGTGTTTGAAAAGAGAGTTTTTATTTCTGACGATATTACTAACGGGACCTTCTCATCCGAAGAAGAGTTTTGATGTGTTCCTCCAACCTTTGATTGATGAATTATTGATGTTGTGAGAACAAGGTGTTGATGCGTATGACGTTTCAACAAGACAGAACTTCAACTTGAGAGCAGTGTTGATGTGGACAATCAGTGATTTTCCGGTTTATGGAATGTTGTCTGGGTGGAGTACATGGACGTTTAGCATGTCCTTATTGCATGGATGAGATTGATTCATTCCAATTAAAACATAGGCGGAAACCATATTGGTTTGATTGTCATCGCAGATTTTTACCATTGGATCATCCATGGAGGCGCAACAAAAAAAATTTTAGACGGAACAAAGTTGTGACCGATCCAAGCCCTCTTCTTTCTGACGGGTGATGAAATATTGTACGAGCGTATCGATAGCATTTTCGGCGTACAAAAAACAACCGAATGTGAAGGAAACATGCATTCCACACCACATGAGTATGGTGATTACCATAATTGGTATAAACGAAGTATCTTTTGGGATTTAACGTACTGGCGTACTCATAGACT